GAGAGAGAGAGAGAGAGAGAGAGAGAGAGAGAGAGAGAGAGAGAGAGAGAGAGACCAGGAATTGAGTGATGTCAGAATTGAAGATTCTCAAGTTCAGGATTTCACTGTTACAAACTAAAGAAATATAGTATGTATTGTATGTATCACTCCTTTTTTAGCTCATTTCTGCGCCTCATCAGAATGAAAAAACCTCCCTCTGTTCATGTTCACTGTTGCTATTGTTCATTCTAATTGTCCTTAGGAAGCCTAGTTGGGTTTTTGTAAGGGCTTATGCCAGAGAATAAAAGATGAAGGATGGGATGTGTGAATAGGAGTAGCATGTTTTAAAGTTTCTTTTGTCTAAAGATTTGAATTCTCAGATGTTCTCATTAAATAAATTGTGGAGTTTAATTCCATACTCTACAGAATTCATCTCCCTTGGGGCATGAAGAACATAAAAGAGTGGGAATGTTTGTATTTATTTTGTGATATGTACACAGTGCCTAGGAGAAGAGGAAGTACTTCTTCTAGGGAAATACTCTTTTATTTTATTTTGAAATTTTATTATGAAATTTAAAGAGGAGTTAGTTTCTACAAGGAAAAAATAAATATTAAGAGTCACCATTTAGAATAATTCCAATGAGTACTCTTTGAAGATATTGGAAATCATTACAGAAATGCAGTGCTATAAAGAGAAAGAAATTCTACTTCATATTCCCTGAGACATTTTTAAGAAGAAAAAGGAATGGAAGGATACCTTGACAGTTATATAATAAAAATAAATATATAAGTACAGCCTAAGCACATGAGTACAACCTGCTCAGTCTATATAATTTTACTTAAATATACACAATTCCAGGTCAGAACTGACCAACTGGCATTGGATAACTAATCTGGGTCCTCTTTCCTAGTGAAAATTATTACTCTCATGCTTGACATTCCTTATTTGACGATTGCTCTTTGTCTAGGGTTGAGGCTCCATGAGATTTCTCCCTTCCATGTCAGCATGTATATTGGTGTCATCTTTGTTCATGTCTTGTTTAGGCAGCCATGCTGATGAGACTTTATAGGTGCAGCTTCTCTGACATTTCTAGGAGATGAACTCTCACGGAAAATTTCTGGCTTTTACAGTGTTTTCCCTTCCACAGTGTTCCCCGAGCCTTAGGTGGTAGAATTATGTTATAAATATATCAGTTGGAACTGGGCGCCAAAAAGTCATCTGTCATTTTCTGTAATGATAATCATTCCTTGCAAGTAGTCACTTTTTTGAAGAGGGTGAGACCTACACTCATCTGTGGGTATAAGGAGAAATATTTAGAATGCAATTAGGAATTGTACTGGCTTAGTAAAGTGGCTTTTGGCTTTTCTTCAATATTTATAACCTCACTAGCCCTTGATACTTGACCAAGTTTCTAGTACTAGGCATGGTTTTCTTCTTGAAAAGACTGCTTTAAGTGTAATAACTGGGATTCTAGGTAGAAGGAAAAGAACAATGAACAGAAATGGTATAATATATTAAAAACTGTCCAAGTATGGTGGAGCATACATTTAGAAGGCAGGTGAATAACTTTGAGTTCAAGGCTAGCCTTGTCTACATAGTTAGACCTTGTGTCAAAAACAAAACAAAACAAATAAACAAAAAAAACCCCAATTAAACAGGGCCTTAAATGGAAGGAAAGACTTACATTCAAAACCTGGACTTTTATTAGATTTGGGGTGCTGGAGGGAAGTGTCACATTATATATTTTTTGTTTAAAATAGTGTATGTGACAAAAAGCATGGACAAATCAAGTAACTGTTAATACCATACATTAGGAGCTGTTCTTGGGCCATAGCAAAGCTAGTATTTAAAATTTTTTCATGCAGTATATTTTGAGCATATTATTTCCCCTCCTTCACCTCCTTCAAGATACACACACACACACACACACACACACACACACACACACACACACACACACACACCTTCATGTTCTTCCCCTACATTTTCTAAACTTTCTGTTTCAGAAAGTCATGACATGATATCTTCAGGCTTTAGAATCATTTTAGGAGCAATCACTGCCTTAAAGGTGCAGCCTCATGTTTAAGCAAGTACATGTTTCCTTTCTTTTCATTCTTGGTCTACTGTCGGAGTAGAAATGAAAGTAATAACTCTTTGTTAATTATATTTTCTTTATGTGACTTTTTTGCTACATGCCTTTGGAAAAAGGAGAATAAAGTTGTGTGCTATATGACTTATTCCTTTTTCCTTTGTATGGCTCAATTAGCAACATAAGGACATAGTTTGTAGGCAAAGGAAGTTTGTTATAACCTATGCCCAATTCACAAGATAGCCTGAGATAGAACACATAAATTCTGTCAGGAGCAATTTACTCTCTTTAATTTTATCTGTACTCTTAGTCTGTGTTGAGTCTGGTTCCTTTGGTGCAGATATATATCTATGGTGTCTTCTGAGATGTTTGCTTCAACCATCTCACTGAAAAGTAGGATTAGCCATGGATCCCATTCATATCACTTCTACTATTGCCATTTTCTTATACTTACCTGCCACATAAAATTGCATACAACCATCTATTCTGTCTCCTGTCCCCAAAACTCCCACAGCTAATTTCTGAATTTGATGGTTCTCAGATAGAAGTGACTTTGGTCACTTTTTGTTGTTATACTCTCATTCCACTGAAAGGAACACCCAGTGGCTTTTGTTTTAATACACCAACAGTCAATTTTATCAGTATATAAATGATACTGTGAGTTAACAGAAACAAAAAATGTAAGTGTAGTTGTTTCCCAAAGCCACAATCTCAGATTCAACTTTCTTAAGATGCCTCACAAGCACTGTACTATGATAGTATGCTGTGAGGTGGAAAGGATTTCTCCAGTGCAGAAATGATATTCAGATTCCAGGCCATCTCTATAAGCTGCATTTCTTAGTTGGATGAAACTTGGACATTTTTCTTTGTTTTGCCTCTAACTTTACTTCTTCCTATGTTCCTACAACATAATGAACTCACTGAGAGGTATCTTTTCTTATGGAGGTAAGGCCACAAATAAGGAACCAGAAAATTAAGCAAGTGTCCATCAGTTAATTATTACAGGTTTATTCCAGGAATACAAACCTGCCACCATCAGAATCTTGTGACCAAACACCACAGATCTGCAACCTAACACCCAATGATAAAATCTCTAACAATGTCTTAACTTTCATCAACCAGGACTGTTTTTATTTGCATGACTCTAGCTTATATGCCTAGCACTTACCTGGCAGAAACTTGACACCTGAAAATTGCATGCACAAGGGCTCATGCTTATCTCCCAGAACTGTAAACTTGACAATAGGATTGCTCTTCTTCACATGGTGTTGTTACATGCCAGGACACTGTGTAAAAGAAACTCACCCTATTCATAAAAATGGAGACCCACAGAGCCCATTGCCATATGCTGCCAGAAAACACTTGAATTATTGCTCAGCTTACTTCTCTCTTTTAGTGTACTCAATAATGTCTCTTTGCTCTTGTAATCTACAGTGTGAATTCTCTACAATACCTTCCCTACTATACTAGTAACCTACTTCCAATCTACCACATTTCTCACTTTCATTTCTGCTCTTAAAAGTCCTTGATGGTTTTATTTAACCACTACCTTTCGGGAAAGTGAAAAAAAGGGCTTCCTTTGAGATCACAACTGGGCCACAAAGTAGAAGAGAGAGATCTTCAATGGCTTTCCCCATCCCTTATCTTAAAGGATAGCTTCTTTCTAATTGCTTTTATTCTAATTCCAGAAAAGTTGGAAATTGAAGAGTCTGTCTAAGAGGTAGAAACCCAAAGTTTCTTGTATCATTATACTTTTAGTGATTTTGAAAATAACAAGTTTGACAAGAAATTGAAAAGAGCTGAACCTTTACACATTAGAAAGTATGTAGTGTCAGGTACAACAAAAATCATAGGTGTTACTCAAACGTTTATATATATAAAATTGCTGCGTGAGCCAACTCTCTTATTCTTATACATTTTGCCAAAGAATTTGCCACACTCAAGGTATGATAAGGAAAGATTTTTGTCAAGTTCACTATTAGGAAATTTTCTCATTGTGTAAACAAACATAAGAGAGTATGATATTTATAAAAACATGATTATTACTTTTGCTAGCCAATCCTATGCTGTGATTGAACCATCATCTATTTATTCTGTTCATAGTTAACGGAGTTAATATTGAAACAAATGAATTTATGCTTTATAGTAGATAAGTGGTTGAGATGAGTGAAATGCTCATCAGTTGGTGAGAGGGTAGAATGGATGTGTAAACTAAAATATTCACTCATAAACATAAACAATTAATGAACAACAGCCATAATGCAGGAAGAAGGAAAGAGGAAAAAAGGAGAAAAGACCCGAGGGCAGAGCCATAGAAAACAGGAAACTAGTGAAGGTAAAAGGAAAAATCAAGTTTTGAAAAGAATGAAGCAACTTCTCCGAGTGTCTCCAGTTATTGCATAACTAAATATAAGGTGGGGCAAAATCCTTTCAAAGTTTCCATCGTTCATGTTCAAAATTCAGTTGTTTTTACAAAAATTTTTATAGTGAATGTATGATATATGGACATGCACTCAGTGTCAAGTTCCAGCTGTCCATACTAATTTAGTACTTTACTTTCAGAAATTACATTAAAGAAAGAAAACAACTCAAAGAAACATTGCCAGATTAGTAGATTCAAATGTGTAAAGCAGAAAGCACATTCCTTATAGTGATAGCTACATGGGTTCAGTGACTTCCCTTACATTGTTTCCTAAGAAGATGCAAATACAATCAAATTATGATGAGGAATACTACTATTTAAGCAATTTATTTAAAATTTTAAATTCATTTTTATGTTATATATATATATATATGTATGTATGTATGAGCATATGCATGCTACAGTGTGCATGTTGAGGTCAGAGGACAACATTGTGGAGTTGATTCTCTGCTTCCACCTTTACACAAATAGCATTCTTGAGCTTAGATTCCCAGATTTGAGCTTCAAGCTCTTTACCTGATGAGCTATCTCACCTCCCCACAAGAATACCCATTGAGAAAATCAGATCAGCTCCTGGTACAAGTTCTATAGATCAACTTCAAAACATCAGAAATGTCTATAAGAAAATTTGTCAAACTTTTACATTTATGTATAATATAGGGAGAAAAAATTAAGAAAGAATTGATTGGTTTTTAGGAAGAAAGTAATTAAAACATGTACAAAAGAAAAGCATTAGAGAATAGTAGAAATTTAAAAGATCCAAGGAAGAAAAATTTCTCCATATTCAAATTCACAATAATTACCTTTGCTTTCATGTCAGTGATGTATCAAGGACAAAAATGGACTCTTCTGAGGAGTCTTCCTAAGGCCCCCTTTACATCCTTGTTTCTCAAGCTATAGATGAAAGGGTTCAGCATAGGGGTGACAACAGTATACATTATTGAGGTGATTGTGTTTCTCTTGGATGAATGGGCTACAGCAGAACTAAGGTGAACCACAAATCCTGTGCCATAGAACAAGGAGACTACACAGAGGTGAGATCCACAGGTGGAAAAGGCTTTGTACTTGTTCCCAATGGAGGACATTTTCAATAAGGCAGAGACAATATGAAAATAAGAGAAAGCTATCCCAATGACAGGAAAAACACCCAGCAGGGCAGTAACCAGATACAGAAAAATGTTATTTATGTGGGTATCCGAGTGGGCCACCCTGAGAAGCTCAGTGAGTTCACAAAAGAAATGTGGGATTTCAGTGCCAATAGAGAATTTTAGTTGCTTCATTAGCAGCATATGAATCAGGGAAACCCAGAACATTGTGATCCAAGACAAAAGAACCAGGAGGCCACAGATTCGAGGGTTCATGATGACTGTGTAGTTAAGTGGGTGGCAGATGGCCACAAAGCGATCATAGGCCATAATGGTCAGGAGAAAATTATCCATTCCAAGAAAGTTATTAAAAAAATACACTTGAGTAAGGCACTCTGTGTACGAGATTTCCATAGTGTGCATGTAAATGTTCACTAGCATTTTGGGGATGGTAGTGGAGGTTAAGCACATGTCAACAAAAGACAGGTTGCAGAGGAAAAAATACATGGGGGTGTGAAGGTGGGAGTCACAGCTAGTGACCAACATAATGAGAAGGTTTCCAAACATGGTAACCAGGAACATGGACATGAACAGTCCAAAGAGAACAAACTGCATTTCAGGATCTTCTGAAAGGCCAGTAAGGAAGAACTGTTGCGTGGCTGTATAGTTCTCAGCTTCCATGTACCTTGTCTGTCTTCTGAAAAAAGGAGGAAATAAAATAATGTTCAGTAAATGTCCAGCTGCAAATTCTATCAACTTTGTCCCTGGGATGGAATCATTATTCTCTGTGTGGATTTACATAGAGTAATATGACTTTCTGAGTCAAGGATCAACCAGTTCTCCTAAAATGCTTAATTCTTCAGTCATCTGTTAAACTAACAGAAATTTCCCTTTTATTATCAATTTATTAGCTTTAATTCTTTTTTATATATCTGAAGACAAGAGGTTTTTTTGTTTGCTTGCTTGCTTGGTTTTACATAACTCATCCAAAGTAATGGAAGCTATTTATATATTTTCTTTTATATTTTATATATGTCTTTATTTTATATTGCTATCATAGGGACATATACTTTTTATTTTGAAATGTGTGTTGCTACTTGATGCATCATAACTATATTATAGTTGTCTCTCTTGAGTCTTTGCTTTCATTTTCCTTTTACACATGTGTTGAATTCTTCCTTTTATATATAAAATCAATATTTTTAATGAAGTGTGACATAAAAATGAAATGGGAAAGAGTGAAAGGAATGAGAGGAAAACAAAAGACAGTATTAAAAAAAAAAAGACAGTATTAGTCGCAAAGAGGATTAAAGTCCATGATATACCCACAAATGTTACAGAGAAATCCCATCTTTCCTACAGTTTATATGCAATAGTAAAATTAGCATGCAACTATTGGTAACATTTTTAGTACTGTCTAAAAATGACTGTGAAAAAGAAGATTATCAGTAAAGAATGCTGCCATAATTTTTCTGAAAGTTGATTAGAAATTTCTGCTTTATGATATATATCTTTCCATGTACAATGTGGAGCTTAGATTTCGGTCCCTTGAGTATTATTTTTTTTATGACTTGACATATAAAAACACTGGCAAAATGATTTTTATGACCTTGAGCAAATTGTTTATATATTCTGTACTACAATTATCTGTCTTGTACAGCAGAAATATTAAGTATGCATACATGCTAGGATTGAAGAGCAAAATAATAGGATATGAAATAATTTCCACCGTAATTCCTGTGATATGCAATGCCTACTGTGCAAGCTAATCACTGAAGCATATTGCTCTTGAATTGAGGTAGGCCATGAGTGGAGTTATAATAATAAGTCCTGTCTTTCAGTTACCATTTTGATTAAAATATAGCATTTCCAGTTAATGACTATGCCTATGATTCCTTTTTACTCACAGAGAGAGTTTTTGGAAGAATTCTTCCAAAAATATAAAAAAAACCCCAAACATGTGGAATAAATAAATAAGAGAAATAAACAAATGCATACCATTAAAATCAAACAGAACATGTATACATTACAGTATGATGTTTATGTTTTAAGTGAGAATGTATTATAAGAAAGTAAACAGAATAAATGTATGAATAAATAATTGAAATTAAAAGGAAAAGATTTTAATCATCCAAAGAGAAGTCAGAGAATTCTCCATGAAAGTGAAGATCATTATTATGAATGCTTACTGAGTTGCTACTAATACACAAAAGAACAAATCTATGGAGAAAACCTGTGCATAGTTACGAGTTCAGTCTGAAAGAGAAATATGTTAGTTCTGAGAAAAATGGAGCACCACTAATCACTAAGAAAGAATAAATACTTTTATGGAAAAATACAATATATTGTTTCCGTATATAACAATTGTCTTGTTTAAGATAAGAATTCAGAGGATAGTGTAATGGAAAATAATAGATGAAAGGCAGGAAGGCACAGGGTCTGTAAATCAGGAGAGTTTCCTATAAGCTTTCTTTTCTGTCCCTCTTACATTTGTAGATTCATATTCATTTGACGATATAAAAGCACCAACTAACTTCCAACACGTGTTTGTTCAGCATCCATAATAGGCAATGTTGTGACAATTTTGTCTTATCACTTATGATTTCAGGGAATTCAAATGGTGACTGTTATATGTGCTGAACAAACACATATTAGGAGACTAAAAAATGTCAGTCTCAAAATGTATATACAAAGGATGTGTTCCAGATTGCCGTCCTGAAAACAAACTCAGAAATAAGTAGTCTTTATAGTTAAATGAAATATGTGATAGCTAGTTTCAAAAGACAGCATGTGATGAGCCACTGATAGCATCTTTGGGAATATAAACTGGTTCAAGATAAATATGTTAGTTGTCATAATTCCTCAGAAAACTCAGTCAGTGGTATGGAATCATAATTCATATCTATAAAATTAATTGGATAAATTTAAATAAAGAAATGAATATCCTAACAGATGATGACTATGTTCTAATCATATACAACTACATGAAAACTCTAAAGCATTTGTGTTAAATTTATAACCTTGTCAATGCAACATCTCTCAACTTCATTTGATATTTTTCTGAACCTTTAAAATGACTGGTAATACGAGAAGAAAATTGAGCAGACTAATATTATTAAGAATTATATCAATGGTAGATATATTATAGATATTAAAGTGATCTCATCATCACAAAATTAATGAGAATTATTAGTCACTAAGTGTAGTTATACAAATATGAGATAATAGCCTGAAAGTGTCTGAAAAATATATACTCTACTTCATAAGATATAATTTTTATAACGTAATTCTAAAAGAGCTTACATTTTATTGAAGATCAGGAAAGGAGTGGTGGAGATTTCCCAGAAAACAGTTCTTATTGGAAATTTTCTCTAGATTTGAAAAAAAGTGAGAGAATGCAACAGTGACAGTCGGATAGACAGTGTTTATGGAAACTATAGTTCTTGTAACATAAAAGGCTGCACTTTCCTGGTGTTAAGCTATACAGGATTTTGCTATTCTCATTTTTGTAAAGGTGAAGCTGAGTACCTACATCATCTCCTTCTCTTACTCTAACTGCACTCATTGAGAAATGTCAACTTTTGTACTGTTGTCAATAATACATTCTCTTCTCCATGATCTATACCAGGAAACTTAAACTTATATGTTTCACAAAGATTGAGATTAGGTAATTACAAGTTAGTGTCATTATCACTGTCTAAGTTTGAATTGTCAAAGCTCCTAATTAAAATAAATGTTCTATTTTCTTTCATTATCTAAACAGTTCCAGTACCTTAGGGTATAAAGTAGGTAACAGAGTAGAAATGTTCAGTTAAGTATATGTTTGCAATAAAGGAGGCAAGGGTAGATATTTTAATTTCCTCCAAGGACAGACTCTATTAATTGCTTTAAATGTTAGAAGTTGTTCTCTAGAGAAAGTATAGCATGTATATTAAGCTCCAATTCTACCAAACATCTCTTTGATATCTTAACAAAGATATCAAAGGGGATATATGGGGATCATATAAATTATTTTGGGTCCAAATTTTATTGACAATTTAAATACTTTTAATAATCTTTGTTTAAATTTTAAAATTTACTTGGGTGTTTATTAAAATGGGAATGCAGAGTTATGCATAAATGTTGCATACATACTATAGGATATATAATTTTAAACAAAAATTACCACATTTATTGTCTCCTTGGTGTAACACTTCACATCACCTCATTTTATTTTATTCAGAATTTAATACTCACTAATAGTTTTTACCATATTAAAATAACTCTGATGAGCACTTCACTTCTATCTAAATGGATTTCTGTATATTTTTACAAACATGTTCCCAACACAGCTACTCAATGCAGTAGCCTCTGATAAACTCTGTTCCACTGTCTATTTCTACAGATACCGTAATACTAAATTATACAAATTATAGCCAAATTGGTGGCATCTGAAAACAAATGGGAGTTGTTGTCCATATATACAACAAAAAATTTTAAGACTTCAATAACATGAAGAAACACAAAATATAACTCTATATTCATCAAGGGAACAATTCCTTTACATTTACATACACCAATGCCAAATAGTTCCATGTATAAAGTAAACATAACTATAGAGGTAAGTAAGAGATATTCCTAATATAATAATAATGAGGAACTATCTGAAAGCAGCAGACCATTTTTTTTTTTATCTTCTGAAGCATCTTAGCTTCTTATCCAGGTGGCTTGAATACTGTATGCCATATTCTAATGCCGTAAAACACACTTTCGCCTTTAGCTAAAATTAAGCAGGTCCAAGAACTAAGTGTTGAAACCTCTGAAACTGAATGGAAAAGAATTATTACATAACCTTAAGTTGCTCTTTAGGTATTTTGTCATAGTGAGGTGAAATGAATTAACATATCAAGTGTAACATGTTTAAAGTCTAAAACATTTTAAACTCTAAAGAACAAACAAGGATAAGGAATTAGAGCTCAGTAATAGAGCGCCTGCTGAGCATTCACATGATTCTTTGTTCAGTCCTCAGAACTGAAAAAAAAATTACACAATGACAAAGGTATAAGCAAGAATATATAATCATTGACACAGGAGATAATGTTCAGTGGTTAAGAATATGTGCTGATATTGCAGAGGACCTGAATTTAATACCCAGCACCTATGTTCAGCAATTCATAACAACCTTTAACTCCAGCTCCAGGGGATTCAATGCCTCTAAACTCTATGGGCTCCTGCACTCATGTGCACACAGAGATACATACATGCACACTGCAAGAAATAATAAAAATAAATCTTAAAAAATTGATATATATGAAATGTGTAAATATATACATGAAGTCATTACTGAAGCATTGAAGTATCACAAAAATCTTTGGAACAGAGGAGAGATAAACTTGAATTAAGTAAAAGAAGACAAACTGAATTTCACATTTTCTTTCTTATACAGGTTATCTTGACTTAAAATCAGTGAAGAAATACTGAATTGAAATTATCCATTGCACTGTTGTCATTAATGTGTTGATTTAAAAGAAAAAAGGCAAAAATAGTGGTTAAAAACCCAGATTATTTAGATTATGATGATGGAGCAATGTTTTCTGAAGGGTATAAAACTTCATTTAGACTTGGGAAAATAGGTTCATGGTCTGTCATGATCAGCAGCACACTAATGTAATATAACATGTTCGTAAAAAATTTTGTGGTAT